GAAAGAAAGAAAGAAAGAAAGAAAGAAAGAAAGAAAGAAAGAAAGAAAGAAAGAAAGAAAGAAAAAGAAAGGCTCATCCCTGCTCTATTCTGTGTTCAGATTTCCTGGGAATACTTTTTTTTGTTCAGAAATGCAACCAAACAGGCGTTGACTATGTCCCTTCCCAATGTCCCCCACCCAACTTGGTCAAGCCAAGGTTCTGAATCACCACCTGGAAGCCCCAAAGCACCTATTACCCAACAGTTTGTCAACTTTGCCAAGGACAAAGAGAGCAGGCAAGTGTCTCCTCCACCCTGTCCATCACGTATGTCCCCTGCAGGGACAGGGGCTGAACCAAGCTTTTCTTCTCCCCTCCCAAGGCCTCTTTCCTCTAGTCTCACAGCTTTTAGATCATCAGCCTATTATCTTTGGTTCTTTTGGTAGCTGCAGTAAAGCAATCTTGGAGCTGCAGTATCCACGTCATGGAAAGTGATAATTCCACTGTACGCAGCACTGGTCAGACCACACCTGGACTACTGTGTCTGGTTCTGGGGGCCACAACTCAGGAAGGATGTGGAGGAACTGGGAAGAGGGCAGAAAAGGGGGATATGGATGATGAGGGGCTTGGAGGCGAAATCCCCTGAAGAACTGGGTCTGTTTAGCCTAAAGAAGAGCAGGCTCAGGGAGACACGATTGCAGTCTTCCAGTCCTTGAAGGGCTGCGGATTGACACGCTGTAGCACCCAAGATGAGACAAGAACCAGCCGATGGAGATCCAGACTCCGAATAAGGAGGAATCTCCCAGCCACGAGAGCCACGAAGCCGTGGCCCAGCCTGCCTCCCTCTCCGGAGTCATGGGGTCTCCATCTCTGGAGGGTCTCAAGCAAAGGTTGGTCCACCATTCAACTGGGACGATCTGAGGATTCCTGCCCTGGGCAGAAGGTGGACTAGAAGACCCCCAAGGTCCCTCCCAAGGCTAGGAGTCTACAAAAATAGCCAGACATCTGGAGTAGCATCAGCTAAAACTTTGGTGCCCCTGAGGAGAAACACGATTCTCCAGGAAGGTTCTCCTGAGCCAACCATGGTGGACATTTACAGCAGAAGCCACCGAGAACACATACTCCTTACATCTCAGCCCTTCCCTCTGCCCACCAGCCTTCCCCCAAAGTGGATGTCTTCTGCTGGGGTTCCTTCCAAGGGTCTTCTGCTCTCCACCATCCAACGTCAGGATCCAGACCCTGGTTGGAAGACAAGCCGAGCTTTCGTGGGGCCGAGGGCTGTTTGGGCAAGGACTCCAGAGCGTGAGTAACGTCCTTGGGGAAATCAACATCCGAGCTCTCCAGGCGAAGGCTGGAATCTGCTCGCGGGATTCTCTCTCTCTCTCTTTCAGCTCTGTTTTTTTCTCTTCCCCTTTCAGGGGGGATGCGCCGCGGGGTGGTGGGCTTTCACAACCCCGTCCTTTCACAGTTGCATTTGCAACTAAAAAGATACGGAAAGGAAAGAATCCGGAAGCAGCAGAGATTTTTTTCTCCAGGGGAGAAAACACCCCTCTGTGTGATACGCGAAGCTCACACGTTTTAGCCATGATGCAACTTTAGAGAGAGAGGATAAAATTCAAATGCATTTATAACCGCTGTAAAGAAGATCAGAAGCCATTTTTTAAAATCTTTAGTCTTCCTTTTTTTCTCCCCCCCCATTTCTCTCCTTTCTTTTTCCTCTTTTTCTTCTTTTCTCACCATCTTTCTTTCCCTTTTTCCTTTCAATGTTTTTATTTGGTACATTTTTTTTTCAATAGAAACCAAGAAGCCCACACAATTTATAAAATATCTATCTGGATTTCCCTCCTCCAGATCTTTCCAGACTGAAAAACAGACACCCTGAAGTGACAATTCTTGGTATAAATTTCTTGGCAGAAGGGCTCGACCTCTTCCAAGACGGCTTGTCAACGTCTCAGTCTAGCCCACAGGGCTCAGATTTCCTAGTGGTCTCCCATCCAAGTCCTAATCAAGTCTGACCCTGCTTAGCTTTCTCAGATCCAAATTATATTTGGGGGGGTGGGGGGGACATCTGAAGCTCTGCAGGTGTTGCTGGACTACAACTCCCAGGAGCCTCTGCCAGCACAGGAAAGGGCAGAGGATGATGGGAGCTGTAGTTCCATGGAATCAAAAGGGCAAGAGTTGATCGCTGCTTTTAAAAGAAATTAAGGAGCTGGCTATTGCATACTAACCCATCAACTTTTGGTTTTATTCATATAAACACACCCACGGGCGCCTATAAATAATAGTTTAGGGATTAACATGTTGTGCCAACCCAACCCATCGTAGCTCATTCAATAAATCACGGCTAAACATGGGATTACATCAACTCAGCCTAAAATTAGTTTTGAAGGAATGGCGTGGCTGTTATTTTTAACCACGGGTGTTTTTTTGCTGAGCAATTTTGTCTCATCCTTTTGAAGGGTCGGGAGCACCATTCCCTCCCTCCCAGGAAAACAAGGCTGCGTTTAAATATTTAAAATGTAAATCCATCGACCTATGCATGCCTGGGAATTGCAGGAATGTAAAGATGATGCGTCGCTGGGGTGTGTATGGGTGTACTATGGATTTAGCATTCAGTTTCTACTTGATCTTTACTCGCAGATAAAATTCCAGAGTCCTGCCCAGGCTGAAAAATAAGATATTTGTAAACATTTGCACCGTTGGCTGTAACATCTCCATTTCAACATTAAATCAGAATTAATGCATGGGGGGGGGGAGAGAAAGAGATCTATCAAAATATTCACAACACAGACAGCCATACAGTGCAAATCCTGTATTCTTAAAACTCAGATAAAGCTTTCCTGGTTATATGTGTGACTCTGTCTGCAAAGAGTTTCCCTCTTAAACTGAACTGGACCGGAATGACTTTCCGCGTCAGCAGGCTAATGAATCCCAGATCACTGAAGGCAAGACGGATTTGCCGGATCCAAATTCGGTGGGAAGAGAAGCATGACAGAGTTTGCATCGCAGAGCATCACAGGCTGGGATCGCGGTTGGCAAAGGCTCTATTTGCAGGACAAGGGATGGGAGAACGTCGGCTTTTGCATCAAGGGCTCTGGTGTCAGTTTCACAACCGCTGGCCTGGTCAGTTTCACCATCGTGGGTCTGGTCAATTTTACCATCGCTGGTCTGGTCAATTTCACAGCTAAGAGACATTGCTTTTTTGGGTTTTTTTTAGCTTGCCTTAAAAAGAGTGAGAATTTTTTAAAAACCACTTCTCAAACTTCTGAAGCAGAAGAACTGGAATCTGTCGCAAGCAAGTGGTATATTCCCGCGCCTAATTTACTGCTGATCCTGATTTTCATTTTTCTGCAGTAGGGTCCCAATCTCTGGCAATACCTTGGAAGCCACTAGGCTCCAAAACCCCTGGACTGAGAAGCATAGCGCTCAGTTTTCCAAGACTCTTGACTTGTCAATGGCTGTTTCAGGTTTCTAGTCCCCATGGCAGCAAGGAGTTTGGGGTTGCCAGCTCAGGGTTTTATGGTCAAGGTCGGTTGGGCAGCACAGAACGACCAATGATGCCCAAAGCTATTCTCGGTCCCTAATAAAGATGACTCAATCTGCCTGCTTTTGACTCTTTTACCAATAGCATTCTGGAAGCATTTCCTTTAAAAAATGTCTATATTTAATCCATCCGCACCAGTCTTCACTCTATGGCAATTTCTCAGCCACCAGGCTCTTCCAGCCTCCTTTCAGCTCTAACAGCCGCTGGGCAAGCTCTGAAGAATGGCCTGTAGGTTCTCCTTGTCGCTTCGGATCTCCTCCAGGTCTTGCTCGAAGGCCTCCAGCCTCTCCCGCTGCTGCTCGGCTTCCTGCTCCAAGATGCCCAGCGTCTCATTCAGGGCACCCGGCCCCGCCAGGCGCAGCTGCAAGCTTGCCAGCTGGACCTGGCTGGCACGGAGCGCAGCCACGGGCTGATCGAGGTTTCCTGGGGGAAGCAAAACATGGTGTTGGCATGGGGGCTGGCGTTAGGATGGAGACCCCAGCTCCAACGCCAGCCCTACTAGGTAGATCAGACCAGGAAATTGACTCCACAGGAAGGTTAAAACTACTTTGACTGAGTTTGGCTGTCGTAACAATCTTGCAAGTCTGATTGTGCTGGACTTCCTCCCCCTCCTATACCCATGTGAATTAGGGAGGTGTCTACCTGAGTCACTTCTGAATATTATCTTGTTGTTCTGGACTTAAAAAATGTTTCAGCCCCTTTGGCCTAGGGAAAGAATTTGACATATTTCCATCAAGGTCCTCTTCCTGAGTCTCTACATCCAACCTTCGTGCTATAATGCCACTGTGCTTCTGATTTTCCTAAATCTTTATACCCCTAATTTCCCCCCCCGATGATGATTTATTATGATTTATGATTTATAAATAATAAATCATAATAAATAATAAATAATAATGCCTTCAGATACACATTACGGGGCCTTCAGAGCAGTCGCCTTGCGAGTTATTGGCAGAAAGTAAAGACAGATCGATTTTAAATGACTTTGGGAATCAATTCCTGCTTCTAGTTCTTACGGTACCCCGTCTCTGTGCTGTAGCTTTGCAGCTGAGCCTCCGCTGAATATTCCACTGGGTTTCTTACTCGTTTTTCCTTCCATGGGGTGCCCTTTAACCTTTTCCCAAACCATCTTTGCCCGGCCAGTTAAAGATCTGGTGGCTTTGCTCGTGCAAAACGCTACGCGTTTTACTTAGTGCTAAATTTGGATTGCAGCTGAATCTAAGTGCCAAGCCAGACAATGGGCTAATTCACGAACCCGGGTTCCCCCGGTGTAAGCCCATGCTTGTTATCTTCCAACCCAGCTGGAAGCCATAACAAGAGAAGAAACAGAAAGCGTTAAGCTTCTGCATCAAGCCTGAAAGCTAAAAAAAAGATCCTGCATTCTGCGCTCTCGCCAAAACTCCTTCTGGATCCAGACAGACCAAACCGCCGTGCGTAAATATTGTAAATTCTAACTATGTTAGGCTTAGTCTGCTCACCCATTTCTACAGAGGCCTTGCCGAAATGGGGTCAAGGACCACCGGGTCACGCAAACACACTCCACGCGTGACTCGAAAAACATTTCTGTTGCCATCCAGTTCAAGGCATAAACGTGCCACCCTGGGTGCTTCCGTCGCGAATCTCATCTCAGATTTTGGACCGCAACTTCCTCGAGCAGGGCTTCTCAAGCTTAGCCAGTTTAAGACGGGGGGACTTCAACTCCCAGAATCCCCCAGCCAGCGTGCCTGGATTTCAACTCCCAGAATTAAGATGGGCGGCCATATACATCTTATAAATAAATAAATAAATGAAAGGCCCAGAAGGGTCGGGCGTAACCCTGGAACGCTTCGTTGATTTGATTGCTTCTAAGCAATCAACGTTTGACTCCAGACAGAAATACAGGGTATTAATTTAAACGCTGTTAAATGTTGTTTAAATGTTTTCTCGGTGTGTGCTTATATCTAAACACAGTACAATCACTTATTTTCTCCTGTCACCACAACCCTGTAAGGTAGGCCAGGATACCAGATTGTGGTTGGCCCCAAGTCCTCTCGGGGAACTTCCACGGCCGAAGTGAGGTCTCCTGGTGTTATCCCATCCCCTTCACCATGACACATCCCTCGCGCCAAAGAAACATTTCAATAAACATTAGATTAGCTAGGTATTAATTTGGGGCTCAGTGGCTTCGACTGCCGCTTTTTTGGCCGGTCCAAGTCAAATTCAGAGAGCTTGTCTCAAGCCGCGCCAGAATGAAAGGCTGACCTGCTTGATTTCTGCCTGCAGAGAGGCTATTAGAAAGGATCAGTGGAAGATAGAGTGGAAGAAAATTGGCACAAGGGATAACTTTTTAAGTTGATTAATTGAAGCAGGCTGGATTACGAAATCTTGGCACCGGGAAACCACAGAAATGATGCTAAGGAAACAGTATGGATTTCTCCATGGAACCTCAACCCCAAAGTGATTTTATTTTATTTTTTAAACAAGAGCCTGCCCTCTAGTGGTAGCGGTGGGAAGTGCTGAAGGCTCAACCATGGAACAGGTGTGTCTCTGCCAGGTAAAACCGAATCCACAGGTATGCTTGATCACCCTCCCTCTGATGCCTTTCAGCTCTCTATTTTAACACAACCTGCACCAGCTAATGCATGCAGTCGCACAACCTGGCAAGCTCGGTTTGCGCTAACCTTGGTTAGTTAAAATGGGCCACGAATGGGGTACTCACCTAGACTGGAGAGCAGGTGGTTGAGCGCTCTAATGTCCATCTCCAGGGAGCGCTGGGCCTCTCGGAGGTCCTTGCCAAGACTGTTCATCTCCACCACGACCTGCAAACAAGACAAGTCTCGCATTACCTCCTCCAATGCTCCCTGCCCTGATGTACCTTAGCGAAGGTGACTGACCTCCTCAGGTTTCCCAAGCTGGATCCCCAGTTCTTTGGCCCTGTCTTCCTGTCTGGAGAGTTCTGCCATGGTCAGAGCAACCTGGGCGGAAACTTTGCCAGCCTGCTTCCTCTTCTGCTTTGCGCTCCTTAGCATGTCCTCGGCTGCCTGCAGGAAAAAACGGTGAAGCACAGGAGGAAAGGTTGTGAATCCACAAAGCTTCCCTCACGCCACGCTCGAGTCCGGTGGTTTCAGAGACACAGCCACGTTGTTTTCCTCGGTACCAAAGTAGCCTCCTTCTCAGCTCCTTTTCCATTTCCCTTTTCTAGCCAGGATTTCTTAGTGGCCTCCCATCCGAGTACTAACGGAGTCTAATTCGGCTTAGCTTTTTTCTTTCTTTCAAAAAAAGCCCTTATTTATCAGACCAAAAATAAAAAATAAAAAATTGAACCACAGAAAAAGAAAGAAAAGAAAACAAAAACAACTGTGATATAACTTTTGTGTATGCATGTACTTTTTTAAAGATCAGCCAAGATCTAAACCAGTGTTTCTCAACCTCAGCAACTTTAAGATGGGTGGCCTTCAACTCCCAGAATTCCTCAGCCTGCATGCTGGCTGGGGAATTCTGGGAGTTGAAGGCCACCCATCTTAAAGCATGCTGGCTGGGGAATTCTGGGAGGTGAAGTTCACCCATCTTGAAGCATGCTGGCTAGGGAATTCTGGGAGTTGAAGTCCACGGTGGACTTCAATTCCCAGAATTCCCTAGCCAGCATGCTTTAAGATGGGTGGCCTTCAATTCCCAGAATTCCCTAGCCAGCATGCTTTAAGATGGGTGGCCTTCAATTCCCAGAATTCCCTAGCCAGCATGCTTTAAGATGGGTGGCCTTCAATTCCCAGAATTCCCTAGCCAGCATGCTTTAAGATGGGTGGCCTTCAATTCCCAGAATTCCCTAGCCAGCATGCTTTAAGATGGGTGGCCTTCAATTCCCAGAATTCCCTAGCCAGCATGCTTTAAGATGGGTGGCCTTCAATTCCCAGAATTCCCTAGCCAGCATGCTTTAAGATGGGTGGCCTTCAATTCCCAGAATTCCCTAGCCAGCATGCTTTAAGATGGGTGGCCTTCAATTCCCAGAATTCCCTAGCCAGCATGCTTTAAGATGGGTGGCCTTCAATTCCCAGAATTCCCTAGCCAGCATGCTTTAAGATGGGTGGCCTTCAATTCCCAGAATTCCCTAGCCAGCATGCTTTAAGATGGGTGGCCTTCAATTCCCAGAATTCCCTAGCCAGCATGCTTTAAGATGGGTGGCCTTCAATTCCCAGAATTCCCTAGCCAGCATGCTTTAAGATGGGTGGCCTTCAATTCCCAGAATTCCCTAGCCAGCATGCTTTAAGATGGGTGGCCTTCAATTCCCAGAATTCCCTAGCCAGCATGCTTTAAGATGGGTGGCCTTCAATTCCCAGAATTCCCTAGCCAGCATGCTTTAAGATGGGTGGCCTTCAATTCCCAGAATTCCCTAGCCAGCATGCTTTAAGATGGGTGGCCTTCAATTCCCAGAATTCCCTAGCCAGCATGCTTTAAGATGGGTGGCCTTCAATTCCCAGAATTCCCTAGCCAGCATGCTTTAAGATGGGTGGCCTTCAACTCCCAGAATTCCTCAGCCTGCATGCTGGCTGGGGAATTCTGGGAGTTGAAGGCCACCCATCTTAAAGCATGCTGGCTAGGGAATTCTGGGAGTTGAAGTCCACCCATCTTAAAGCATGCTGGCTGGGCAATTCTGGGAACTGAGGTCCAGACATGTTAAAGTTGTTGAGCGTGAGAAACAGTCCTCTAGAAAGCGCGACTTACTCCTACCTCAGCATTTTTCTTGGAGACGGATTCCCCATCGCTGGCGGTTTTGAGGGCCTTTGCAGAAATGGGTCCAGAATTGCTCAAGGCTCTCTGGGCCTGTCTGATCTTCCTCTGAGCCTCCACAATTGCCCTGTCCCGCACTGCCACCCTTTTCCTCTTTACAACGGTGCGGCCTTTCAGACGTGCAGCCCGGTTCTTCATTCCTGCTGGCGAAAGAAGGGGGTGGTTATCCTGCTTCAAGCTGGATGAAGTACATTCCCTACAAGGGGCTCATAATTCATCGGCAGTTTTCCACCATTCCAGTTATCATTAAGAAGAAAAACACATCAAGGCCCTAGTCCTCATTGTCGTGTAGAAAAAAATGGAAAAAAATGCTGCTACGGGGGACCAAGATGATTTGGGCTCAGTTTGTCAAATGGTAATCCAACACACTCCCCTGTTCTTTAGCATCTTTATGGTTCATACCTGACAGATAGATAGATAGATAGATAGATAGATAGATAGATAGATAGATAGAAGGAAGGAAGGAAGGAAGGAAGGAAGGAAGGAAGGAAG